CTGTAAGAAATCAATAAAATATATTTTAAAAAAATAGGTAAGAAATACTTAAAAGGCAACCTTGAGAATTATTATTTCCATGTTTCTATATTTCATTTAATATACTCATTTTATCATCATTTTCATGTTGAAAAGAATACTTCCTAGAAAATACTGTGTTTTCAACCACTATTTTGTGCATGTGTGTGATTTTATTTGTTCCAATGTGCAATGTTGTGCACATGTATTTATTTGCAGCCTGACGGGATTAATTTTAAATAGAAATTTTCATGAAATTTGATTTTTATTCTTATTTATTTTTACAATTTTTACATTTTCTATAATTTTTTTTTCAGAAAAACCTGTGGGAATACATGGTAAACTTTCTATAAACTTTTAACGCCTAACCCTAACTGTTTACTTACTGTCTCTAGCATTGTCTGCCTTTTTCCTCATATGACATCCACAGGCTCACTTTTTGCTTACGCATATCTCCAAATTCAGTTTCACCTGTTTATTTTTCTAACTTTCTTCCTTCTCCGTTTATTCTGTTTTCCATCTCATACCTGTAGTTCCATTTTAATTTTGGTATTTTCTTCTTCCAGAGACTTGCCATATGTTTACAACAAATCTTATGAGGGAAGAAGGTTAGGCACATGATTGATTTCCACTCTATATATTATTCATAAAATATCGATGTAATTAGGACTCTGCCTTTTTGTTGTTGTTGTTCAAGGGGCCATTTTATGCAAACTTTGAGTAATGTGAGAAGATTCCAAATGTGATGAGCAAAGTTCCTTCCTCCATTGCCCTGTGAAACACTGAGTAAACCCTGATGTCTTTCTTGGATGAAGTGTGACCTTGAGCCTCACTCTTTCAACTCCCTGAAGATCACACTTGGTAAAACATAGCCAAGTTTTACCAGTTATATGAATATTTTACATAATATTTTTTGGACATTTTCCTTTCAACTACATTAAATGCTCTTCATTCTATCACATTTTTACTCAGTTTACAATTCTGAAAACTGCAATACCTTTTACCTGTTGCAGAAGGATGCTCCATCTTAAGGAAAGTTACGTATAATGTATATTTAACTCAGACCTCTATGTGGATGACATGAGAAGCTGTTTGTCAGAGCATGATCCCCAAAGGTTTTTGCATGGAGCCTTGATAGAATCATTAAACGCTTTATGCCCACCTTTTCTGATGTTATATTTTAATTATGTTTTAGTTTAGAGATACAATGGAATTTGGGAAGAGAGCTCCTTATGCTTATAAGCAGGCTTCATGGGATTATTGATCCGGATACAGGTGTTGATAGCAGCGTACTTAGTATATACAGGCTTCTGCATCACACTTTAAGTACCTGCCTCAGGTATGTGCACTTTTGCCATTTTAGTCTGAAAAAGTGAAAGGCCCAAAGCAAGATCAAAGATTGATATTGTTTATCCCAGAGGAAGTTCTCCTTTAGGTCTGTCATACTTTCCTTTGCCATCTCATTCCTTTTGAATGAATGGGTATGGAGATGGAGGGTGTGACACTGGCTCTCATTGGTTACATGGACATATGATCTTTTGGCTCCACCTCTTAGAAATGTGGGTCAGTTTCCATTAAAGAATAAACAAAAGAAGGGTTTCAAATTAGCATTCTCTTCTCTTCCTAACATTGTGCTTGCATCATGTTTGAATGGATTTTTCTTTTTTTCACTCTTTCAGATAAGGGTGACCAGGATAAAGGCAAGTCCCATGAAGGTATTTCACTCTGCACTTACTCGGTTTCATGTGTTTATTTTGCATTTGTTTTCAACTCTCAGGGATCATCTTCCTTACACCACCACACACATGTACATCACTTGTTCATTTATTGGTATGATTTCAACATATGTTTACCATATTCATTATTATTCAGTTTCCCCCATAATTATTTCTTTGATGGTCCTATCCTTGCAATGTATGTAAACAATTCCTCTCAGGCTAGAAAATTTAGAAATTACTTTCCTACAAAATTTTGCTATTTTTAAAGTGTCTGATCTGAAAGTTTTGTCCAGTAAAGCTCCAGACCATACAATGTAGACCTCCCCCACCACCCCACTCCATCCCATAAAATGTATACCTCTCTCACTACCCCATCCCTGCCGAGCCATTACTGCCATTTAATAATTTATCTCCCTTTCCCAAGAATTTCTAATGATAAACTGTATTCAGGAATGAGTTAAAATCAGGCTCACATATAATAAAGTTTTGTATGAACCATTAGACAAAATATTGAGGATAGAGGTACCCATTAACTTAATCTGCATAACCAATGGAGCAGTAGTTCAGGATTCTATGATTCATGGGTTGTGGCAGTTTTACTCGTATATGGTTAGCTACCACAATAAAAGAATTGACTATATATATTTAGCTGCAGCCAGTGGTCTTATGCATATAAAACTTTATTCTTATGGATGAGTACTATCCCATTGAACATAGGTGACAGTTTATCTTTACGCAAGCAAAATGAAAGGACACTTGGCTTGCTTCTATGTCCTGTACACTGTGACTAATGCTACAGTGAACATAGGAGTGCATATATCATTGGGAAGAAATATTTTTCAGATTGTGAGGCATAGATATGCATAGACGGTGGTGCTGGGTCATATGAGATCTCTATTCTTCATGTTTGAGGAACCTCCATACTGTTTCCCACAGTAGCTGAACCAGTTCACATTCCCACCAGCAGTACATGAGGCTTCCCTTTCCTCCACAACCTCTTCAACACTTGTTGCTGCTAATCTTGTTGATAACAGCCATTCTAACAGGTGTGAGGTGGTATCTCCTGGTAGTTTTGATTTGCATTTCCCGAGTAGCTAGTGCAGTACAGGATCTTTTCAAATACCTCTTGTCCATTTGTATGTCTTCTTGGGAGATGAAATACTGCCATTTGTAACAACAGGGATGGATCTTGAGAATATTATGGTGAACAGACAAAGTCAAGAACCATATGATTTCTCTCATACGTGGCATATGGAACCGAAAGCACAAAATGAACACACAAGACAATCAAACAAAACCTCACAGAGACAGGAAAGCATGAACCAGGTGTGGGCAAACTTTTTGACTCAAGGGCCACAATGGGTTCTTAAACTGGACCGGAAGGCCGGAACAAAACCCTTTTTTTTTTTTTTTTTTTTTTTTTAGTTTTATTCATTTCAAACAGGCCGGATCCGGCCCGCAGGCCGTAGTTTGCCCAAGGCTGGACCAGACTGAGGATTCTCAGAGACATGGGCGTGGGTCCGGGAGGACAGGTGGGCTGAAAGGATTAACCAAAGAACTGCAGTGCATATATTCATAGCTTATGGACACAGACAGAAGTGTCTTGAAGACCTGGGAGTGATGCAGTGGGAAAGGGGTCGAGGGGGGCTATAGGGGAAAAAGGGACATCTGTAATGCTCTCCACAATAAAGACTAAAACAAAAGAGAACTCATAGACACAGAAAACTGTATGGTGTTACCAGAGGGAAAGGGGTGGGTAGTCAGGATAAAGGAGGTGAAATATATGAAGAAGGAATAAGATTTCACTTTGTGTGGTCAGCCCACAATGTGATACCCAGGTGATGTATCAAAGCACTGCACTGTTAGTACCACATGATTTTATTAACCAACATCATCCCGATAAATTTAATTTACAAAAATTTTAAAGTACAATTTTTGATACATTAATAATAAAATCCTAAATAATCTCAAAAGGGATCACACAAAATTTTAAGGTAATTACCATAACTAACTTTCCTCAATTCATAGAATTCATTCATTTTCCCCTGTTTAATTACCTCCAAAGGGAACTCTCAGCCATATGTGTGTTGTGTGTGTGGTTTAATTACCTCAAAAGGGAGTGTGTGTGTGTGTATGCGCGGGCACATTATTTGTTTTGTATCTGCATCCTAAGTTTAAATACATAGTTTTCAATATTTTTGAACGTTTTGTGTTTTTCATAAAATTTACATTATTTTTTCCTTTGTGTTTTTCAGACAAACTTCTGAAGATATTGGGTAAATTTTCTCTCATATCCCTTTACTCCCAAACACTTTAAAATGACTGCTTTCCTGATGTGTCTAACATTTCCTGCCTTTATACTGATTGGCCAATTCATTGTTTTGCACTTCTGCTAGATGCCTACTGACCTAACACAGATTTCCTCCTGAAAACCTGATTCTATATTGTCCAAGTCAAGCTATTGCTCAACTATAATATACAACATGGCTACTGTAATTATGAGACGTGACTGCAGGCAGGTTCAAAAGTAGGTTAAAGTTGTGAGATTATGAAACACAGAATTTAATCTGTTATTATTTTTATTTATTAATTATTATATTATTTAGCAGACAACTATAACTTTACTTTTGCCCCACCCTATATTATACTTAGTACCGAAGAACTAGTAAAGCCAGAAACGCCCACCCTAAATTATAAAATCTTCAAATTAAATTAGGAATATTTTATAAGGTAACTAACAGAACTGTATTTCTAAATTTTTTTTGCTTAATTCACTATATTCAGATGTTTCCTCCCTTTGATTTTGGAACAATTGTCTCTGAGCAAATGAGAGCTTTCAGTCACTGTTCCTAACTGTGTGTGTTGTGTGTTCCTCTGCAACACGACAGGTTTGATGTTGCGTGCACGTTGTTGAATAAATTGAATTTTATTCACATTTGTTTCCCATGATATTTACAATTTCACTTTTATGTTTCAGAAAATCTTGAGGAAAAAATAGGTAAGTTATTTCTGACAATCCTTTATTTCCCAACCTTTAAAAATCATGTGATGTCTTTAGCATTATCTGCCTTTTCCCCTCTATGACATTGATTGGCTCACCTTACTTTTGGAGGTCTACTCCTTTTTCCAAAATTAGTTTTGTCTGTATACTTTTCACATATTAAGTTCCATCTATTTATTTTTCATAATTTCCATCTTTTCCAGTTTCTTCCCTTTTCCATGTCATACATGTCCTTCCCTATAAACTTTGGCATTTTCTGCTTCCAAGAAACTTGCCATATTTACTGTGAATCTTGTGAGGTGAAGAGGATTGTGCTAACAGGCACAGGATTTCCACTCTATATATACTGTATGTAAAATACCCATTAATGTAGGACCTCTGCCATTTTTTACAAGTTCAGGGGGCCATTTTAAGCAAACTGAGCGATGAGAGAAGATTCCATATGCGATGTGTGCATTTGACCCCCTCCACTGTTCTGGGAACATTCTCTAGGTTCTGATGTCATTCATTGCAAAGTGTGACTTTAAGGCCCACTATTTCACCTCCCCACTGACCATATTACCCATTACACAGATAATTTATACAATATTTTCTGCCCTTTTTCTTTCCAACTACATTAAATGCTCTTTATTCTTTTGCATTTTTATTCGCTCGGGTATTAATTCACAACATTGCAAAATATTTTTTTATGTTTGAAAAAGTATGTTACGTCTTAAGGAAAGTTGATGTGTGATGTATCTTTAGCTCAGAATTATTTATGTGGATGACATGAGAAGCTATTTGTCATAGCATGATCCCCAAAGGTTTTTGCATGGAGCCCTGATATAATCATTAAACGCTTGATGTCTTTTTTTTTCTAATGTTATATTTCAAGTATGTTTTAGTTTAGAGATACAATGGAATTTGGGAAGAGAGCTCCTTATGCTTTTAAGCAGGATTCATGTGATTACTGATCCGGATACAGGTGTTGATAGCAGGGTACTTAGTATATACAGGCTTCAGCATCACACTTTAAGTACCTGCCTCAGGTATGTGCACTTTTGCCATTTTAGTCTGAAAAAGTGAAAGGCCCAAAGCAAGACCAAAGATTGATATTGTTTATCCCAGAGGAAGTTCTCCTTTAGGTCTGTCATACTTTCCTTTCCCATCTCATTCCTTTTGCAGGGATGGGTATTGGTTGCATGGACTTAGGATCATTTGGGTCCACCTCTTAGAAATGTGGTTCAGTTTCAATTAAAGACTAAACAACAGAAGGGTTTAAAATTAGCGTCCTCTTCTCTTCCTGATATTAGGCCTTCATCATATTTGAACGGTTTTTTTTTCTTTCACTTTTTCAGATAAGGGTGAGGAGGATAAAGGCAAGTCCCATGAATGTATTTCACTTTGCACTTACTCATTGTCATGTGTTTATTTTGCATTTGCTTTCAACCAAGGATCGTTCTTCCTTATTCCACCACACACATGTACATCATTTTTTCAGGTATTGGTAAGATTTCAACATATGTTTACCATCTTCATTTGTTACTCAGTTTCCCCGTTATTATTTCTCTGATGGTCCTGTCCTTGCAATGTATGGAAATATTTCCTTTCGTACAAGAAAATTTTAGTCATTACTTTCCTGCAAAATTTTGCTATTTTTAAAGTTTCTGATGTTAAAGTTTTGTCCAATAGAGCACCAGACCATACAATGAAGACCGCCCTCACCATAACCCGTCCAGTTCTAACAAAGTATACCACTCACTGTACTCCATCCCTGCCCTGTCATTACTGCCATTTAATACTTCATCTCCCATCCCTCTGAATTTCTTATGATAACCTTCATTCAGGCATGAGTTAAAATCAGGCTCACATACAATAATGTTATGTATGAACCATTTGACAAAACATTGAGGATAGAGGTACCCATTAACCTAATCTGCATAACCAATAGGATCAGTAGTTGAAGATTCTATGAATCATTGTTTTGGGCAGTTTTATATGGCTAGGTACCACAATAGAATAATTTACTATATATATATTTGGATGCAGCCAGAGATCTTATTAAAATAAAAACCTTATTTTTATGGCTGAGTAGTATTTCATTGTATATAGGTACCACTTCTTCTTTATCCAAGCATGTATAGAAGGACGCTTGGCTGGCTTCCATGTATTGTCCACTGTGACTAATGCTACAGTGAACATAGGAGTGCACATATCATTGGGAAGAAATATTTTTCAGATTGTGGGGCATAGGTATCCATAGATGGTGTTGCAGGGTCATATGGGATCTCTATTCTTCATGTCTGAGGAACCTCCATAGTGTTTCCCACAGTAGCTGTACAAGTTCACATTCCCACCAGCAGTACATGAGGCTTCCCTTTCCTCTACAATCTGTCCAACACTTGTTATTACTAGTCTTATTGATAACAGCTATTCTAATAGGAGTGACGAGGTATCTCATTGCAGTGTTGACTTGCATTTCTCTAATGGTTAGTGCAGTTTAGAATATTTTCAAATACCTGTTGACCATTAGTTTGTATCTTGGGAGATGAAATACTGCCATTTGCGGCAACAGGGATGGATGTTGACAATATGATGCTGAGCAGACAAAGCCAAGAACCATATGATTTCACTCACATGGGGCAAATGAAACTGAAAGCACAAAATGAGCACACAAGACAATCAAACAAAACCTCGCAGAGACTGGAAAGCATGGAACTGACTGAGGATTCTCAGAGGCATGGGGGTGGGTGCGGGAGGACAGGTGGGATAGAAAGATTCACCAAAGCACTTAAATGCATATATGCATAACCCATGGACACAGACAACAGTGTCTTGCAGACCTGGGTGTGAATCAGTGGAAGAAGGGTTGAAGGAGGCAATAGGGGAAAAAAGGGACATCTGTAATCCTCTCAACAATAAAGACTAAAGCAAAACAGAACTCATAGACACAGACAGGGAAGGGGTGGGTAGCACACGATAAAGGAGGTGAAATATATGGTGAAGGAACTAGATTTGACTTTGTGTGGTAAGCCCACAATGTCATATGCAAGTGATGTATCATAGCACTGCACTGTTAGTTCCATATAATTTTATTAACCAAGATAATCCCAATTAATTTAATTTACAAAAATTTTAAAAGAACAATAGAGATACAATATTAATAATAAAACACTCAATAATCTCAAAAGGGATCATAAAAAAATTTAAGGTAATTATCTGAATTAACATTCACATAATTTTCTCAATTCAGCGAATTCATTCATTTTTCCCTGTTTAATTACCTCAAAAGTGTGCTTTCAGCCACTATCTATGTGTAGACACATGTACGTGCATCTGTGTATGTATATGTGCATATTTGTTTTGTATCTTCACAGAAGTTTAAGTTTACATACATAGTTTTCAATATTATTAATTTTTTTGTTTCTCATAAAATTTGCATTATTTTTTTATTTCTTTTCATATTTTTTATTGATTAAATTATTAAATATGAGCCCTTATAGCCACATTGCCCCCCATTCCCCATTAATTTTTCCTTTTCATTTTTCAGATAAAATTCTGAAGATATTGGGTAACTTTTCTCTTATGTCCCTTTACTCCCAAACATCTTAAAATGACTGCTTTCTGATGTGTCCAACATTTCCTGCCTTTTTATTGGTTGGCCAATTCATTACTTTGCACTTCTCCTAGATGCCTACTAACCTAACCAGAATTCCTCCAGAAAATCTGGTTCAATATTGTCCAACTCAATCTATTGTTCAACAATAACATACAACATGGCTATTGTAAATATGAAACGTAACTACAGGCAGGTTCAAAAGTAGGTTACAAATGATTTTCTGTATTGGTTTTTTTGGTCTCTATGTTATTTATTTCTGCTCTAATCTTTATTATCTCCTTCCTTCTGCTCACTCTGGGGTTTTCTTGTTGCTCTCTTTCTAATTATGCATGCATATAAGCATAACCAATGGACATAAGACACTGGGGGGTAGGGGAGGCCAGGGGATTGTCAAGGGCGGGAAAAAAAGGAGACATATGTAATACTTTTTGTAATACTTTAAGCAATAAAAAAAAGACAAAAGTTGAGAATAATCAGAGAATAATAGTATGCTCTTAATCTTTTTTATTTATTAATTATTATATTATTTAACAAACAACTATACATTTACTTTGCCCCCTATAATATATTTATTCCCAAAGAAATTGTAAAAGATAACAACCCCCCCCCCAAATTATAAAATCTTCAAATTAAATTAGGAATATTTTTATAAGGTAACTAAGAGAACTGTATTTCTAATTTTTTCATTTAATTCACTATATTCAGACCTTTCCTCCCTTTGATTTTGGAACAATTGTCTCTGAGCAAATGAGAGCTTTCAGCCACTGTTCCTAACTGTGTGTGTTGTGTGTTCCTCTGCAACACGACGGGTTTGATGTTGCGAGCATGTTGTAGAAGAAATTGAATTTTATTCATATTTGTTCCCCAAAATATTTACAATTTCACTTTTAATTTTCAGAAAATCTTCAGGAAAAAATTGGTAAGTTATTTCTGACAATCCTTTATTGCCAAACCTTTAAAAACCATGTGATGTCTTTAGCGTTATCTGCCTTTTCCCCTCTATGACAATGATTGGCTCACCTTTCTTTTGGAAGTTTACTCCTTTATCCTCAATTATTTTGGTCTGTATACTTCTCACATATGAAGTTCCATCTATTTATTTTCATAACTTCCATCCTTCCCAGTTCCTTCCTTTTTCCATCTCATACCTGTCCTTCCCTATAAACTTTGGCATTTTCTGCTTCCCAGAAACTTGCCATATTTACTGTGAATCTTGTGAGGTGAAGAGGATTGTGCTCACAGGCACAGGATTTCCACTCTATATATTCTGTCTGTAAAATACTCATTAAAGTAGGACCTCTGCCATTTTTTACAAGTTCAGAGGCCCATCTTAAGAAAACTGAGCGATGAGAGAAGATTCCATTTGTGATTAGTGCATTTGACCCCTCCACTGTCCTGCCAAAATTTTCTAGGTTCTGATGTCATTCATTGACTGAGTGTGAGCTTAAGGCCCACTCCTTCACCTCCCCAGTGACCATATTCCAGGTCGCACAGATAATTCATATAATGTTTTCTGGCCTTTTTCTTTCCAACTACATTAAATGCTCTTTATTCTTTTGTATTTTTATTCACTCAGGTATTAATTCACAACATTGCAAAAGATTTTCTATGTTTGCAAAAGTATGTTACGTCTTAAGGAAAGTTTATGTGTGATGTATCTTTAGCTCAGAACTCTCTATGTGGATGACATGAGACGCTATTTGTCATAGCATGATCCCCAATGGTTTTCCTGGATCCCTAAGAGAATCATTAAATGCTTTATGTCCTCTTTTTCTGATGTTACATTTCAATTATGTTTTAGTTTAGAGATACAATGGAATTTTGGAAAGAGAGCTCCTTATGTTTGTAAGCAGGCTTCATATGATTATGGATTATGGTTGATAGCAGGGTACTTTTACTATATACAGGTTTCTGCATCAGACTTAAAGTACCTCCCTCAGGTATGTGCACTTTTGAAATTTAGGTCTAAAAAGGTGGAAAGTCTAAAGCAAGACCAATGATTGTTATTGTTTATCCCAGAGGGAGTTCTGCTTTGGGTCTGTTATACTTTCATTTCCCATCTCATTGTTTTGCACAAATGGGTATGAAGATGGAGAAAGACACTGGCTCTCATTGGTTGCATGGACTTAGGATCCTTTGGCTCCACTTGTTACAAATGTGGGCCAGTTTCAATTAAAGAATAAACAGCAGAATGGTTTCAAATTAGCGTCCTCTTCTCTTCCTGACATTGAGCCTTCATTATGTTTGAACAGTTTTTTTCTTTCTTTCACTCTTTCAGATAAGGGTGACCAGGATAAAGCCAAGTCCCATGAAGGTATTTCACTTTGCACTTACTCAGTTTCATGTGTTTATTTTGCATTTGATTTCAGCTCTCAAGGATCATCTTCCTTTCTCCACCACACACATGTACATCACTTTTTCATGTATTGTAATGATTTCAACATAAGTTTACTATTTTCACTTGTTATTTGGTTTCCCCCATGATTATTTCTTTGATGGTCCTCTCCCTGTAATGTATGGAAATATTTCCTTTCTGACAAGAAACGTTTAGTAATTACTTTCCTGAAAAATTTTGCTATTTTTAAAGTGTCTGATCTGAAAGTTTGTCCAATATAGCTCCAGGCTGTACAATGCAGACCTCTCCCCTTCCCCATCCCCAGCCAGCCAATACTGCCATTTAATGTATCACTTCCCTTCCCTCTGAATTGCTTGTGGTAAAATTTATTTAGGCATGAGTTAAAATCAGACTCACATACAATATAGTTTTGTATGAACCATTTGACAAATCATTGAGGATAGAGGTACCCATTAACCTAATCTGCATAACCAATAGGAGCAGTAGTTTAGGATTCTTTAAATGGTTGCTTGCAGCAGTTTTATATAGCCAGCTAACACAATAGAACTGACTATATATATTTAGCTATAAGCAGAGATCTTATTAAAATAAAAACCTTATTCTATGGCTGAGTAGTATTCCATTGTATATAGGTACCACTTCTTCTTCATCCAAGCATGTATAGAAGGACACTTGGCTTGCTTCCATGTCTTGTCCACTATGACTAATGCTACAGTGAACATAGGAGTGCATATATCATTGGGAAGAAATATTTTCAAATGTGGGGTGTAGGTATCCATATAAAGTTCTGCTGGATCTCTATTCTTAATTTTTGAGGAATGTCCATACTGTTTCACCCATTAGCTTTACCAGTTCACATTCCCACCAGCAGTAAATGAGGCTTCCCTTTCCTCCACAACCTCTGCAACACTTGTTATTACTAGTCTTGTTGATAACTGCCACTCTAACAGGTGTGAGATGGTATCTCCTGGTGATTTTGATTTGCATTTCCCTAATAGCTAGTGCAGTACAGGATCTTTTCAAATACCTCTTGTCCATTTGTATGTCTTCTTGGGAGATGAAATACTGACATTTGTAGCAACAGGGATGGATCTTGTGAATATCATGCTGAACGGACAAAGCCAAGAACGATATGATTTCTCTCATATGTGGCATATGAAATGGAAAGCCCAAAATGAACGCACAAGACAATCAAAGAAAACCTCACAGAGACAGGAAAACATGGAACAGACTGAGGATTCTCAGAGGCATGGGGGTGGGTGCAGGAGGACAGATGGGCTGGAAAGATTAACCAAAGAACTTCAATGCATATATGCATAGCCCATTGACATAGAGAACAGTGTCTTTAAAACCTGGGGGTGAGGCCATCGAAGAAGTCAATGGGGGCCATAGGGGAAAAAAGGGACATCTGTAATGCTCTCAACAATAAAGACTAAAACACTAAAACAATACAGAACTTATAGACACAAACAACTATATGGTGGTTACTAGAGGCAAGGAGTGGGTAGTGCAGGATAAAGAAAGTGAAATATATGGTGAAGGAACTAGAGTTGACTTTGGGTGGTAAGCCCACAATGTCATATGCAGGTAATGTGTCATAGCACTGCACTATTAGTACCACATAATTTTGTTAACCGATGTCATCCCAATAAATTTAATTTACAAACATTTTAAAAGAACAATAGAGATACAATATTAATAATAAAACACTAAATAATATCAAAGGGATCACAGAAAAAATTAAAGGTAATTACCAGAACTAATGTTCACACAATTTCTTCAATTCAGAGAATTCATTCATTTTTCCCTGTTTAATTACCTCAAAAGGGAGCTTTCAGCCATTGTTTGCATGTAGGCATGTGTGTGTGCTTTTGTGTATGTATATGTGTGTATTTGTTTTGTATTTGCATCTTAAGTTTAAGTTTACATACGTAGGTTTTCAATATTATTGAATTTTCTGTTTCTCATAATACTTGCATTAATTTTTCCTTTTTGATTTTCAGATAAAATTCTGAAGATATTGGGTAAATTTTCTCTCATATCCCTTAACTCCAAAACACCTTAAAATGACTGCTTTCTGATATGTCCAACATTTCCTGCCTTTTTATTGATTGACCAATTCATTACTTTGCACTTCTCCTAGATGCCTACTAATCTAACCCAAAATTCCTCCAGAAAAACTGTTACAATATTGTCCAACTCAATCTATTGTTCAAATATAATGTACAACATGGCTATTGTAAATATGAGCTGTGACACAGGCAGGTTCAAAAGTAAGTTAAAGTTGAGAATAATCAGAGAATAATAATATTCTCAATCTTTTTTATTTAGTAACTAGAGGCCCAGTGCACAAAAATTTGTGCACTGGCGGGGGTGGTGCAGGCCCCACTTGTGCCCTCTCACAGTCTGGGACCCCTCGGGAGATAATGACATGCTGGCTTAGGCCTGCTCCCAGGTGGCAGAGGGCAGGCCCAATCCCTAGGTGCAGCCCCTGGTTGGGCTCAGAGGAGGGCTGATTGGGGGGTTGGGGCGCCCCACCCTGTCACACTGAAGGCAGGGTCAATGGGGATGTTGCTGCGGCACCCCCTGTCATGCA